GAGGCACCACCTCAGAACGCTGAAGTTATCATCAAATTTTTGCAGTCAATTTCGAGAATAATTGAATAGCTAACCAAGATCCCAGCCATTGGCCGTCGAGGCCACCGGATTTGTGCATGTTATCCTTAGTGGATTTTTATCTTTGCGGAAGAATAAAGGTTCTTATTTTAAAATTCCCCGTATAATCTAGACAAGAATTAGAAGTACTTAGCTGTTATGTGAGGGTATCTTTTACCCCAATGAGTTAATGAATTTCGCGAGAAATGTTCTAAAACGGTCCCGTCAGACCGTAACAGAAGACGGTCGACATGTCGAACACCTGTAGCAAAATCTCATGTCTTGGTTTGCTATTAATTTTTATTGTTATTAGATATACAGGGTGGCCCATCGAAAACGTTCCGCAAGGCATAACGGCCGGGGTAATATTTTTTTCAAAAAATCCAAAAACACGTCAATTTTGTTTGTGAGGGGGACAACTTTTGCCCCAAAAATGATTACAAAATCTTCAACCCTCTAAGTGGGGGTGTCATCCCCCAACTTTTTTGAAATGGTAAGGGGAGTCAAGTGGCACCGCAATGAAAAGAGCTTTCTATTCTCTATATTTCTCCACTTCGTTTTTGAAAATCGGTCGAGTCATTGAGAAAATATGAAGGATTGAAATTTGAAAAGTTTATTTAAACATTTTTCAGAGTAAATGATAAGGATAAATTCCTTCGACCAATTTGCTGTTTTTTCTTATTATTTCTAGATGTTTACGCATTTTTTCACTTGCCACAAGGTTGAACGATCAGGTGCGGTAGTTGCTAGATAGCTGTTCTGTAAATGCTAGATAGCTGTGTTGAAGTTCTTCTCAATATCATTAAACTTTTTAACAATTATGGTGTACTCACTTGCAGAAAAAGTGGATATAATCGAACTTTATTTTGAAAAATAATGAATGTGGCAATCGGTTTGCGCAGATATTCAATGAACGCCATCCTGACAAACACCTTTATGGCAAAATTGTTCGCGATTTAGTAGCAAAATTTCACGAAACTGGTTCCGTTATGAATAAAAAGAGGCAGAGGGAAAATCCTGTAGTAAATGAAGCGATGGAGGTATTCGTATTGGGTCAAGTTGCCATGGATCGCCAAGTTGCCTTGTACGCTAAGTACAAGAAAATTAGCCAATGAGACCGCGACCGGCGTGAATCGTACAAGTGTCCAAACGATATTAAAAAAACACAAGTTCCACCCGTACAAAATTCAGTTGGTACAAGAACTCAACGATTGACGATTTTGATCGTCGCGGGCTGGTATTTTTGGAAATTCTATTGTAGATCAGTTTAACGATATTGAGACGGCACCTGATCATTCAACCTTGTGGCAAGTGAAAAAATGCGTAAACATCTAGAAATAATAAGAAAAAACAGCAAATTGGTCGAAGGAATTTATCCTTATCATTTACTCTGTTAAATGTTTAAATAAAATTTTCAAATTTCAATCCTTCATATTTTCTCAATGACTCGACCGATTTTCAAAAACGAAGCGGGGAAATATAGATAATAGAAAGCTCTTTTCATTGCGGTGCCACTTGACCCCCCCTTCCCATTTGAAAAAAATTGGGGGATGACACCCCCGCTTAGGGGGTTGAAGATTTTGCAATCATTTTTGAGGCAAAAGTTGTCCCCCTCACAAACAAAATTGACGTGTTTTTGGATTTTCTGAAAAAAAAATTATCCTGGCCGTTATGCCTTGCGTAACGTTTTCGATGGGCCACCCTGTATACTTTAAATGTGTTGTGTTGATATTGTTAAATATAGTTTAAATTATTAGAAAATTCTGCATCTCTCATTGTCAATTGCCAGAATTTTTTTCCATTACAGCCGGCGTCGTTTTATTTAGCCGCCTACTTATTCAAACTGGGTGAATTTTTGAAAACTGTATAACTCGAAGAGGAATCGAGCAAAATATCAAGTATGCTATATTTTTGGAAAGGTAATTTTAAATTCTTTTCAATTAATTAAAAATATACAGGATGTGCCATATAACAAATCAAATTTTTTGTTGATAATTATTAAATTATTAATTAAAAAAAATACACTTAAACCATTAAATTCTGCGTAAAAAAGTGCTTTAGAAATGTTTTCACAAAAATCCAAATTTTCCATAGCAAAAAAGTTAAATAGATTTTTTAAAGCAAAATATAACACTAAATCACCACAATACATCAAAACTCTTTTACTTTTACACTGGACGCGCGTTTCGCTAACCATGTTAGCATCATCAGCAGATGATTATAAACTCAAATCATCAAAAAACAATCAACAAAAAACGCAACGCGCGTCCAGTGTAAAAATAAAAGTGTTTTGGTGTATTGTGGTGATTTAGTGTTTTTTTTTGCTGTGTAACACCAAAGGTTCCAACCCTCAACTGTAATCTTCGATTTTTTAAAAATGCACATTTTTGAAAAATTCCGAAACGGTAATAAATATCGATGTGCGGTTTTTTCATCACGTTTTTGATAAAATTGAGCTCCAAAACCATCATGTTTTTGATAAAAATTGAGCTCCAGATACCGATATTAGTTTTTATCTCCTATAGAAAAAGGTGTTTCACTTTAAATGCGTCCAATTTGACCCACTCTGTACATTGTATGGGAGGGGGAAAGTTAATCACTGCGACATTATAGATCTATTGTGTTCCCCTTTCTTGAGTTATAACTCATCATACAATCCCAGAGTCCTGACAAAAGCCAACATCTGAAACGGTTTTACAGAGATCAGTTCTCCATCTCCGATATCAGTCGTACCAAAGTTTATGGCACGAGTGGTTGTAGTCTTAGCGCACTCAGTGATGACACAGTGATGAGGTGTTCTAGTGTTAACCCATTTTTTCCACAGAATCTACATTCGCCGTTGTTTCTTAGCTTCAGTGTACTGAATTTATGATGAATGAATAATGTTAGGTTTATATGAGAAGGCAATATTCCTGTTAAGAACCCCGTGACAGTCCGAAAATTGTTCTCACTTATATTAAGGAAAATCTTTGATTTTTCTCGGTCGTAAGTCTTGAGTCTCGTCGTGAGTCCTGGGACAAATATTTATCTTACATACAAATCGTTGCTTAAAGAAGAAAAATTTTCTTAACCAAGAATACCGTACCAAAAACAATTTTCTATCCCTCCAAATGGGGCCTCTGATTTTGGAATATATCAATAATATATTGGGGCTTTTGGAAAATATCATCAAATCTATGCAAAATACATTTTCATATTATAGAGTGTAGAAACACAATTAATATTTTGTTAAATACTAAAGAATATACTAAAAATATGTTGCTTGAAAATTTGTATATAAGGTATATACAAATACAAAAAAATAGGTTAATAATATTATGCAAAACTGGTTACAAATTTAGAGTAATGTTTTTATTAAAACTTGACTAAAGAATCTTGTACATTTATACCCAGATGTTCTAATTATTGTTACATGTGTTACCACTTAATCTAAAATCTTTTCTCATAACTTTTCAAATACAGTTATGTTCTCTTTTATTTCCCGAAAAAAAAAACAGAATCAGGGTTATCCTAACAATCTGACTCAAAAGACTAGATTTAATGTTTCGCGACTTTATGTATTCAGTTCTTATCTATTTTTATTATTTACGCATGTTACGTGAAGATCCGTTCTGCCCACGCTACAACACCTCCATACATTGTAATTTTAAAACAAGTTGTCGGCTATATTTTGAGGGGGAGGTAGTTGAAATCTAGTGATGCTCTAAAGATACAATTTAATCGCGATCATTTAAATAGAAAACTTGTTTTGATCATTTTTTGAACTTTCCGTAACTAAAACCTGTTATAGATACTTGACACATTGTAATTAATTTACCTATAATATAACTGCTTATTATATAACTTAATGCTCAACTATGAAGAATTAAGTTGAAGTTATTACATCTGTCAACATAAAAATCAAGCTTTCATAATTTTAAAGATTTTAACATATCTTTTTGTATATGGGTTAACCAATAAAAGTATTGTTATATTGCTATTTTTGAAAAGACTTCTGGATTTTTGCCACTAGGAGAAAATCTACAAAATGAAATAGATATTTTTTGCAAACACCACTGCGTTGATCCAACGGAGACCAATTTGTCAGTGATATTTTACAGATTAATTATTAAAACAAATTTTGGCCTAACATAAAAAACTTCTTTGGTGTTGTAGTACAACAGCAATAGAATACACTAATTCACCAAATACCACACTTCACTTTTATCACTGGACGCGCCTGTCGTTAACAATGTTAGTATCATCAGCAGATGATTAAAAACTCAAACGTAGGCTTCAATTTCAAGCATACTTCTTTTACTAAACAGAAATTTGATTTCTAAATCAAGCCATTTTTGATTTGCAATTTCTCTACCTTACCACTAACTTTGCTGTTCGTAATATCGAGTTTATAGTCCAAGAAAAGAGGCCTTTAAATACGAAGTTTTGATAAAAACTTGAATTTTTTAAATATGTTACTTTGAAAGATCTAAAAACGAATTGTGAAAGGTTTTTTTAAATTTTTGTTGAATTGAGTTATAATTGGCTTTTCATGATATAGGAAACCAAATATCTGCCTCTAATAACTTAATTATAATACTAAACTTACTATAAAGATTGAGTTCCGAAGACTGCGAAGGCCATCGAAGATTACAATTTTTAATCAGCTGCTGACGGGAGACTCGCGTCCAGAATTAGAACTAAAGTGTTTAAGTGTTTTATTTTACACGAATTATTTGGCATAGACACGTCTCTTAAACTGTTCACTGTCATTAAACTCACAAACAGTGAATTTTGTCAGCTGCCAATATACCAGTCTTTTTTTTCCAGAAATGGAGTAGTTGAAATACAATAATTCAAAGATTTTGTTTGTAGTATTAAAACCGAATAATTAAATATTGATTACATTGTTTTATATTTTTACACTTATCTCAACTCATAACTTGTTTTCCATTTTCTTTCAGGTTTCTGCTACTGATCCAGACTGTGGAGTCAATGCCGTCGTAAACTACACCCTGGGAGGTGGTTTTGAAAAATTGAGGGAATTTAAAGTCCGATCCGATACTGGTCATATATGCATAAACTCAGGATTGGACTATGAGACAAGAAATGTGTATGAGTTTCCGGTTATTGCCACTGATCGAGGTAAGTAATACAAGACTGCACAGTATAACACTGAAAAAAATATTAAGGAATGATTATATCAACAAACTTGACAAGCCAGTTAACGGCTATATTAAGCTCTTTAAGTATTATTTGATGTCTTGACTTATTGTCAATGCCGTCCAAATTGTTTTTTTACGTGGCAGTTGTTGATTGCGTCTTCTTTCATCTGCAACAGTTTGAAGACTTTTAAGACTCTCCCTGGGCAGGTGGATTTGAAGGTATTGTTCTTTTAACATGTTAAAATATAAATTATAAGGCACAAAAATGCTGGTGTTATTTGATCTTAATTAAAATTATTAGTAATTGAAACAAATATTTCTAATAAAAATAAATTGATGTAAATATTAATTATCAAAAAGATATACCCGTATATGCCATCGGAAGCACCAAGTAAAAGTAATAAAATTGGCATTGTTAACGGTTAGTAATAAAAGCGACAGTAAAAATTTCAAACTCTTATACTTCATGTATCATTTTTTGGTAAAGCTAAATTCTAAGTCTCTCAACGCAATTCGTCCACTATTAAAACTTGTGAGATCTCATGTAAAACCAAGTCCTGTAGACTTGTAGAATGGTTTTGGAGGAGGGTTAATCACCGCGCCCTTACAGATCTATTATTTGTCCCCCTTTCTTAAGTTGTAACGAGTTATAACTCAATACAGTGTCAGGACTTTTACAAACTTTTGTGGTTGTTTCTTTATTTATCATGTTTTTAGTCTGAGTATGATTTCACGCTGGATAAGCGACAATCTTTAGATTCTACATTCTAAGCTTACCATATCCACCTTTTTCCAATTTTGACACATTTTTCCAGATTTGCACATTTTGAATAAAACGAATTATAGAATAAACCAGAAGTAATCTAAAATAAAGACACAAATAATTTAAATATAAAATAAAAACATAGTCAAACAAAACTTAAAAAAGGGTGTTTTGAATTTTGTTACTCATATTTTTCGGTAAACATCATACCAATAAAGAACGATAATTTAAATATTGTGTAAGTGTGACTTTACGAATAAAATTAACGTTAGCCACTTTTAAATGGCATTAAATATATTTTGCTGTATATTGTCTATGTTGAAACCCGTCCTATTTCTATCGCAAATATGCAGATAAGATTATACAACTTTGGGAGAATGCGTACTTTTTGAAAAAGGCAAACCAGTATTCGACTGTACTGTAAAAGTATCAAATAAGAAGAGAGTATCTGTTTTAGTTTAAGAACATCTTATAAATGGATTTATAAATGATTCAATACATTTTTTGTATGAATGTATGTTTCTTTTTGAAGATCATTCTTATTTTTTTTTCACCGGTATACATATATTTTTCAAAATATCATCAGTAGTTAAATAAATAAGCCTTTTAATCATTAAACGAGTAAAACCATCAAAATATACAGCAGCTAATGTGGCTGATTAATTTCTCCAAAAAAACTCTTCTGGGTATTTCGCCACTTGTACTTTAAGAAAATCTGCTTCGAAATCTACAAATGAAATAGTTATTTTTGTAAACACCGTTGCGTTAATTCAACGGAGATGAATTTGTCAGCGGCTATTACTAATGAAACAAATTTACCTGACAGAGTAAAAAGTGTTTTGCGTTTCAGGAGGTATATCTCTTCCTATCTTCAGAAGCAAAAAAATACAAAGAACAAAGGAAAACTATCTAAAATATCTAACTACAACTATTCAAGAACAGTTTAGTTTTTTTCCAACAGATACGTCTAATAATAACTACCCTTTTTGGTCTATGAGGCAAATTTGTTTTATTAATAAAATACCGCTGACAAGTTGGTATCCGTTAGATTAATGCGGTTTTACAAAAAAATAACTATTTTATTTTGTAGATTTTCTTACAGTGCAAGTGGCGAAATACCCAGAAGACTTTTAAAAAGGTGGAAAACTATCAAGTCATTATGAATAACGAAATTGGGATTTTTCATTTTTTCCTTCCAAACACTAACTAAAATTCAAAATTATTGAAAATTTAAGATTAATGTTTATAAGAAATTTTGGGTAATAATTATAAGTAATTTTATCCAACCAAATTTGTTTTTGGTTTTGTCACAAACTTTGGCCAAAAGTGAGGAAGAAACACTACATTATGGAACTAAATAACTGAAATATCTCCATGTACTAAATTAAGTAAATTAAGAGGAAGGTAACATTTCATATTTATTTAACGTTTAATTTACACCAGTATGTTTATTAATATAAAACAGGAGAAGTCTGTTATGCCATAAAATTATAGTACATCTTAATTACAAAACTGTACTTTTACTATATGCTTTCCGTCAATTTGCTAATTAGAATGATGCTTTCAAGTGTCTGGGATTTCATTAGTTTGTATGACCACAAGGGTCTAAACGACTAGAATTAACCTTTTACAGTATTTAATTGATGCATTAATTCAATACCAAATCGGTTACAAAAATGATACGTACAGTTATTTTATCCCGCGATGTTTTGCAGAAACAGGTGCCCAGCAAGGAGATTTGTTTAAACTTAACGTTTATAATCAGTATACATACTAAGATCATACCAAATAAACTTTTAGTCACGTGATTAAGCTTCACGGGCACCGCGTTGCTCACTTTTACATATTTTCTTCTAATCAAAATATTTTGGGAAACAGAAATATATACTATTATAATTTAAATCGACAAAACTTATCCCCTTAAAAGCACTTAAGGGACATTACTACTGCGTTCCCGTTCAAAATATTCTAATAATGTTGGGATGAGTTTTTGCAACGACTATTAAGCTGATGAGGCATCTTGTTTACTTCGCACAAAAACCGACTCTAAAAAGAACAATGTTGCTCTGCAAGGTCCGCTACTAAACATTTTTATGCTTAAAGTATCACAACACATTTAATTTTATTTTTTAACTGTTTTAGCTAAAATTACTAACACTAAACCCTTGTTCCTCATACTCATGAGTATAAAGCTCGAGACTCAGCGTATAATAAAAACTGACTAAGGCTCTAACCCCAACAATCAATTCTGATGTTTCCCATAATTATGTCATTCTTCATTATAAAGTATATTATGCTAAAATTATCTATTTGACCAGTACAATTTATAATGACCACTACAATATATTTATTTATATATATTGTATTTATTTAACTGTGAAAGAAAAACATTCATTCATAAGATTATACTGGGTGACTCTTAAATAAGTGCAAATATTTTTAGGAGTAGTATATTTCGACCCCAGAAACACGATTATGATTTTTTTTTCGCGAAATTTTTATTTTAAATTTGGAATTTTTTGAAAAAAATTTTTGAATTTTTTTTAGTTTATAGCTAAAAAACATATTTTTTTTCATAATATGGCAACATAGGTAGTAGATTAAATTTACAAGAAAGAAAACCCAGAAAAGATCCAGTGGTTCTCAAAATTTAAGCAAAAAACATACTTTTTTGGAAATTTTCAAATAACTCGGTTATTTTGGACTTATTTGAAAAACGGTAAAGAGAAAATATATTTCTTTTATCGAGATCTACCAGCCCTGAAAAAAATGTCACTTATTTAAGACTCACCCTGTATACTACGGAATCCGTGTAGTTTATTAATTTTCCTTTTTCCTAACTTCAATACTTGATTGGTTCAAAGCATTACCTTTTTTACGAATAAAATGAACTTCTTCATATTTTAGTTTCTTCCAATTTTCTTCTGGAGAATTTTATTTCCTAACCAATAAATATAGTAATTTGAATTAACATAGTCTGCGGTCTCTGATCCTGAAGTTTTTCTCTTTCTTCTGTTGGTATCATATTCCTTAATCCACTAGATCTATCAAATATTCTACAGTTTAATATGTGAGTCATTTTTTTCCATTAGACTTTCCGATTTCGCCTTTGTTAACAAAATTGTCGTTTACAAACGCTAAACCAAAAGATTTTGATTATAATTCGATTTATCAGTTTTATTTATGGTTTAAGCTTCATTCAGAACCTCCCAATTAGTGGAATAAATTAGTAGTTTCTATTACACTTTATACTTTTTAGTTTAGGATCATTCATAATGTCTAAAAAACACAATTAAAATTAAATAGAATATCCTAGCACAGCTTGCGGTAATCAGTTGCATCCATAGAGAAAGCCTAATATTTAACTTATGAAACAATAAACTTTTGATTTCTAACCACATTTTCTCTTGACGGATAATAATGAAAGGCCAAAATGACATTTCTCGCAAATTTTAAGTATAATTAGTGGAAATGTTAAAAGTTTGGTAACTTCTTCCACTAATTAAAAATTCCTACTACTAATTTTGACGTTCTGAATTCATATTAGCGGAACAAACTTCTACGCTAATTGAAACCACTAATTGCGACCACTAAAGCTTTAGATGTTTAACACTAGATATTTTGATATTCTGCAAAAGTATAGTGAATAAAATTAAGATTATACTTTTACTAACAACAATAAATAGATAAATTTCGATGGGCATACTATTGCTAAGCATATATACTTGGCTTTTCTATTGGGAATATACAGATAAGATTATATAGAAAATTGAAAGAATGCCCGGTCATCGCTAATGTTGGAACGAGACCGCGTCGCCGACCAAATAATGTATAAATTCAGAAACCAGAAAGGCCGTACGTTTGAATTTCCCGTTAGGCAGCCGCCGTACCAGGGTTGGATCTTTGGCAAATTACCCAATTAATTCTGCAAAAATAAGAGCGAAAAGGCTAAATTTCAAAATCATTAGAAAACTTGCACCAGGTTAGATGTTTACATCTTCTATAGACGTAAAGTTTCCAGCTTCTAGCTTTATACATTGATTCAGCAGATTAGTGGTTTTAAATATGTTTTCAACCTTCCTCTATCCTCTTTATCCGAAACAATTGTTTTTAATGAAGCTTTTCAAATTGCACGAAAAAACATTTGTAATAAACCCCACAATTATCGTAGATGCAGTATTTTGCGTCTAAAATGCTACTAGGCATCACGTTGCAAC